ACTCGGGCTATCTCTTGTATGTCTGTCGTCGTAGTTGCTACCGTCCTCGTCGACGGTGAATATAAGTTGGGAATAAAATGTGTATCCGCAGGATTTCGGATATCGCGTGATGTGGTAGATTTACGCGATGTGTTGTCGTTCATTTGCATAGTGCCGCTTTTGAACAGTCGGCCGTCTAGGAATATTGATTATGTTAATATCACGTTCATATTATAATAGTATACTATAATATAGTTATTGTTTATGTTCGTGATTGTGAAGGGACTGTTCAGTGGTAGTAGCAGGTGCCGTTGCTTAAGCGAATAAGATTGGCTGATCTTGTCTTCAAGGTATGCAGTGATCCCGAGTTTGTCGGCAGATTCGATCCTGGGGGGATTTTTCACTCATTCAGTGTTTTCATTGTATTTGTCGCTGTAGCAGCTTTCGAATATTCAAGTGGTGGGTGCACTGTTTCACTTACACTGTAAAGAATACAGTAGGTAATTTCCTGTTTTGACCCAATAGCACTTCATACAGCAGACTTTACGACGTGTGACCTTGCAAAACTCATGCTGCAGTATGTAGGTAACAGCATATGCCGTCAGCGTTATACTGCTACGAAGCTTCTGCGATCTCCCGTACCTGTAAAATTGTAAATGCCCCGGCAGCGGTCATTGATATGATATTCTTCTAAGTAATCATGGGTGCCGAGTGTTAGTCGCTGGTCGCTCCTCTGTCATTCAGTTTTATAACGGAGTACCCCGTTTGACTCGGATGGAACTCGTCGAAGTCTAGTCAGTACCTATCGTTGACAAGTTAGAGTTGCTAGTAGCTCCTCTTGGCGCAGCAGCTGGGTGGGGTTTTGGGGTGGGAAGCGAAATGACAGAAAGGTTCACTAAAGTTCACTAATAATCGCCGTCCCAAAGTACCCAGAAAGACGCCAAAACAGAATTTGTGTCCATTTCGCTGTAAGCTATCGCCCAACATCTGTTGGCATCTGTCTTGGTCGTCATGTTGTTGTTGTAATCGTCATCTGGGGTATCAGAGTCAAACACCGAGTACCCAGATTAATGTTGTCTGACGCTTTGGTTTCTCAAAATGGTTTAGGCAATGGTTGTCATATTATCATCAGGCGCCGCCGAAAAAAAGACCAACTTAGTCTTAATCGAGAATTCCCTTGAGCAAGGAATCGACCCCACGTTGCTTCGGCGAAGCCAGACCAGAAGCGGGTAGTAGCTTTGTGACACGCAAGAAATAGGTACAGCATGGTATTTTTCTGTGGTCATTTCAAAATGAACGATGTATACGGCCATGCTGTCCGATGCAACCCCCTGTGACTGCATTTTGCCTCGGATGATTGTCCAGTATAATAATCAGCGATTTCGACCGTAGCAGTGGAACGTTTTTAATGTGTTTCGTTAAGGTAATATATTTATTTATCTTTCAACTCTTAAACTAGCGGATTGATTTGTACATGTCGTCGATCAGTTTACGAACGCAGTTTGAGGACTCTCAGGGAATAAGAGATATTCCAGAACTCAGTCCGGCGAAACCCGTCCGGAATATTGTTTGTACAGTAATGTTGTTTTATAGACAACACTGAAATATTTTTATACTTTTTTAATCTGTAGCTGAGAAGGCAGATAGATTTTGTTTGTTAAGACAGTGAAACCTGAACTTAAATTCTTCCATGAAATCTATACATAAGGTGAAAAATGTGCTTTTCATGAAATGGCCGCTTTGACTATTACATCTCAAGATGAATGTTGATTTTGTATAAATTATTTTAATTTAATGTCATGTTATTTGAGTAGAAAACAAAATAACAATTTGTTCGATAGTTTTTTTCTTCCAAATGAGCAGTTGTAAAGCAAACTGAAGATTTGAAAAAGAATATTATGGCGGTACGGGGTATTTAAGGATATGCAGGCCGTTAGAACAGAAAGTAGATATGAAAACGGCTGATTACCACTTCTAATAGTTGTGAAATTTATGTACAACCGAAGTAAAAATATTTGGATGCTGAAGCTGATGTGGGTACTAGTGATGATGTTTGTTATTCGAGTTTTGCGTTATTCGACATACTGTACCATATAAGCATTCAGTCATGTTAAAGTGGTGACACAAGGAATACTGGCACCATAAACCTTTCTTAATGAGCACGAGGTGACACTAGCGAATAAAGTGATGCCGAATGCGTCTGACCCTGAAGCTGCTCAAATACCATGGAGCCGTGGCCTGCTGAAGCGGTCCTTTTAGGCAGTTAGTATCACAGAGGCGATGCAGTACAGCGTGAAATCTGGTCATGGAGGAATATACGAAGTGCCAGATCCTAAAACACAGTTCGGTAATGAACGTCGGGTGGTTGTAGCTGTCAGAGTGATGCGAAATGCGTTTGGTATTATTTTACATATGATGAACATATGATGATGTTGAATTTACATTTGTAAAATTTTGTGAACAAATGATGGAATTGGGAATCTGAGAATTGTCTATTTGAAAATAATTTTATGCTGAACATATTTACGAATATAAGAAAATTTGTTTATTGAAGTAACCCATCGAAGTTGTTCTTGTTCTTTTTTGTTTCAGCTTCTGTTTTTCTTATCATTTCAGATTCTTTTACGTTTTGAGGATATCCCGTTGTGCCACCGTTGCACTCTTATGAAGTTCATTAATGTTAATATTGATACCTGGATTTAGTGGAAATTCCGACCTGAATTTTTCATTTATACCTTAATATCTTATCGATTTTCCATCAAATCACGATATCTTAATCATGGTGGCTGCATTTTCGCATTTAGTGG